TTACGGATCTTCCAATCTCAGATTCTTATGAGTCTATATTCGCGATAGTAGATCGTTTTACTAAGATGGCACGTTTTATACCATGTACAAAATCTATCACAGGTGAAGAAACAGCTAAGCTCTTTCTTGACAATATCTATCACTATCATGGATTATCCAAGGATATTATATCAGATAGGGGAACTCAATTTGTATCAAGATTTTGGTGGATTTTTTTCAAGATTCTAAAAGTGGATATAAAACTATCTTCGACATTCCATCTTCAAACTGATGGACAAACGGAGCGTATTAATCAAGTTTTGGAGCAATATTTAAGATGTAACATTAATTATCAATAAGATTATTGGACAACTCTTTTGCCATTGGTAGAGTTTGCTCATAATAACACGATACATTCTTCTACAAAATAAATACTTTTCTTTGCTAATTATGGTTATCATCCAAGACTTGATACTTTTGACTTTTCAAAAGTTGATAATCCTACTGCAAAAGATTTGGCGATTCATTTATCAAAGCTACATGCAACGATGAAGGCGTAGTTAAAAGAGGCTCAAGAACAACAAAAGGTCAATGCGGATGTCTATCGAAAGGAACAACCACCATTCCTCTTGGGTGATAAGGTATGGCTACTTCGTCACAATATCAAGACCACTCGTCCTTGTGATAAATTAGACTATCGAAGATTTAGACCATTTTCTATTTCTGCACAAATCAATCCAGTTGCATATCGTTTACATCTATCGGAGTCAATGAAAATCCATCCGATATTCCACGTGTCTCTTCTTGAACCATACAAGATAGTGGACATACCAAGAAGACGACAAGCTCCACCTCCTCCTATAGAAGTGGACAATAATAAAGAGTTTGAAATAGAAGAAGTCTTAGATTCAAGGTGGCGCCAAAATAAATTGGAATATCTTGTCCATTGACGCGGATATGATATTAGTGAACACACATGGGAGCTAATAAAGAATCTTACAAATGCAGCAAAGGCGGTGGAGGCTTTTCATCGACGACATCCATCAAAATCAAGATGAAAACCTTCTTTATAAAAGAAACAACATCTAGACAAGATAACATTCTACTTTCAATCTTTGTTCGTAGCTTCTTTGCAGTAGTGACACTCAGGATATAGAGAATCAACAATCAACGGATTCAACTCAAGAGCCTTCATTTGTTGATCTACTGGACGAGACATTACAATTGTCACAACCTTCAAGACGATGCAATCGAGATAAAGATCTTCAAAAACGACATGTTCTTCCTCGAATAGATGGCGAGATACAACGCGTTTGGTATCACGACTTGGGAAGGGACTCCCAATGTTTGGTGATTTTACTAGAGATAGGAATAATTCTTGATGGTGTTCCAAATGTTCTATTCAAAGGAAGTTATGAAGGCCTCAACAATGATCAAATAACTAGGTGGTATTCCTGCCCTAGTATGAGACACTATCGATGGTTGAGAGGCCCTATCAATCATCTTCGAAGAGAACAAAGATTAGAGTATGTGGCAAATATAATTCGTCGCATCATAGATTTCTTCAACATATGATGACCGCTCCTCATGGAACTTGTTCTTAGAAGAGGGGGTAATGTCATGGACATACTCATGTAAGCTAGTTATTACATATACAAATAGATGGAAGTAAGTAAAAGTAGGTAAAAGTAAGTTACTTCTATAGTATTTAATATGGAAGCTTCTTAGAAGCTTCATAGATATTGATTTGACTTCATAGATGTCTTTAATTGACTTTTTGGATTAAAAACATAGTCAACAAGTTGGCCATGTGCCACATATATTATTAGCTTGAAGATTAAGTTACCTATGTGGCCCACACGTAGAAAAACTTGCTTTGTAAGTCAAGGCATGTATCCAACAAAGTCAACACATATTGGAGGTCCTATAGAACGTCGCCACGTAGCCCCTAGTTAGATAGTATATATAGAGACAAGAGTGAAGCCTTCTTCACTCTTGTCAATTCTTTTCTTGCTTCTAGTCTAGTTTCAAGGGTCTCTAGTTTTCTTGTCTTTTGGCAATAGCCATTCCAGTTTCTCTTTCAATATACATACTTGTTTATTTATATTTTGTTACCTTACTTCGAGTGAAGGCTCACTTGTCTTAATTTCTTTTTATCGAGGTCTTGTCCTTGACAATTATATTATTGCTTGAGTGAGTTGAATCCTCTCCATGATTGTAGATGATTTAGTCCAATACTACTCAAAATATTTTTGCACATTAGAACTTTAATGTGTGCATAAATATTAAGAATTATTAAATTAATCCATAAATTTATTAAATCAACCCACCCATCATCCTTATTTGTAGATCCAATTATTTTTTCAAATGTTTTCAACCAATATGAATCTTGCAATGGAGAATTTTTTTCATGATGGTTAGAATTGGTTGATCGATTTAACAATTTCGTAAATGTGTGTGTATATATATATATATATATATATATATTCTAATTAACATACACTGATGTTAACTAAGAAGACTTATTTTGAACCTATAAATGTATGTACTTAGACTCATGTACTATAAGATAGAGTTGACAAGACAAAATTATTTGATACAATAGTTGAAATTCATCTTTAGATATTTGATTTTGATACTATCTAACATCCTCAACATATTATAATGTTACTTTGTATTATGATTTGAGTTGAAAAAAAAAAAAAGAAAATAGCAATGTGTATATTTTCATCATAAATTATAGATGCATTTGTGTGTATGTGTTTCATAAATATTTTTACAAAAGTAGAGCTTATTACATGTTTATTTGGCTTTTTGGTTATTTTAAGAATGTTAGTATTTTGATTAAATCATGAGATTGAAGTAAAAAAAACATGATTAAAATTTCATCCAGTACATAATTAAAAATTCATGATTAATACATGCATAATTAAAAATTCATGATTAATACATGGATAATGTTTTTTATATTTTCTTTAAAGTTTCCAAGATTAGGATTTTAGAGCATCTTGTCTTAATTCCCTATTATTTCTTTCCTTTCTTTCTTTTGAATATATGTACATACATAATCAATTATGCATAAGTGTTGATATAAAAACACCAACAAATGAGACAAAAAATAATTGACATTGAACTCTTTTTGTCTTAAGATTGTTGAAAATAATTGATGTTGTTGTGAAAGATATTTATAAAGTAGGTAATTGAAAACACATATGTTGAATAACTAATAATTACCTTGAATATGACATATATATATATATATATATATATATTTTTTTTGATTTTTGTAATTACTACAAACAGCAGCTTTCAAATTCATATAAACAACTTCATCCTTCCTACCTATCAAAGACAGAACATGCTCTCAAATTGATTGCATTAAAAAATAAAATAAAATAAAATAAATCGATCCAAAATTAAATCAGTTTCCATTATTTATTTTTATTTTTATTTTTTTATAGAATTGTTTCAATGGAGATAAATTGGTTTTTCAAAACCAAAGCTTAGTAATAAACTTAAGATGCAATGTTAGGAGAATTTTTAATTTCCAAAAACTAATTAACGTGCTTGTGACCTAAACATAGGAACACAAAACAAAGGGGTGAGGGGGGGGGGGGTCCTTGATTTGAAGAATAATGTCACCGACACGGAGCGGAGATGGAAGGAAGAACACAATGCTGAGGCGGTCATGGGACTTCGAAGGTTATAGACCCTCCACGTTCATAGGTCACATCGGGTGCAGTTCCTCAGCGGTCACACGCGCCGTGGAGACAGGCATAGGAAACCGCTGGTCACGGAGGCAGAGTCAGTCTGGCTGCAGGAGAATGAAAACATATATATTGATTTATCTGCTGGTTTCGAGGAGCGGCAGTTTTCAACGATTGAAAACTGTTGTCCGCTTCATGACTGAGTCGGCGAATTGAATTCTTACTGTTAGTTGGCTGGCTGATCATCCTCGTTAGCTTTTCTCTGCCACTACTTTTGAGCTCTATCGACACAGGGTTGCAGAGTCTTCAAATTTTCTGATGTGAAGGACTTTGAAAGGTAATGGCAACGAATCGCAAGCCACCATGATTTCACCCCCCCCCCCCCCCCCCCCTCTTCTAAGCGATTTTGTCTGTACACAACGTACGTTAAAATTTTGACTACGCACGTTGGCAATTTTTTGTCTGGAGGTGCAAGCAGACAAACTTTTTTTGGTTAGAGAGGTCGTGGGTTGTCTTTGTTTCGTGGATTTCGATTGCTGCTGAGTTTAAGTGAAGATTTTGAGTTTGAGTTTGAGTTTGAGTGGGATTTCATCGTTTAGGATATTTGAAGGTGCTGGGAATTATGAGATATTGTGGTGGTTAAGGTGACCAAAATGTGGTACTTCAACTGGGAGGGACCCCTTCGAAATCTCTACATAGTGACCCAATTCATAAGCTTCTATCCCTCGATTTTCATCCCCCATCAAACCTCTCCCCCAGGTTTCCTTTGCACTATCTCCCACTCACCATCTGCTGTTTTTTGTATATCTCCCCTCAAGTCTGTACTGTCCCAAATTCGTCATTGCAGATTTTCTTGGGATCACCCATGATTTGTCATGGTCCCTATGGATCATTAAGGGTGTGGCCCACATACCGGGGTCGTGGCTCTTGCTTGGAGAATGAACGAGGGAGTCTTCTGTATGTGCTGCAGAAATTTTGTTGAAGGGCAGTTTCATATCGCTTTAATGGATTGTGCGCAATTGAGGTAGTCCTGGATTGCTGGTTCATGTGTTTGTAATTTTTGTGGAGTTTTCTGGATGGTGAAGAGATGTAAAGCATCTGAGCTCTGATATTCTGTCGAGAACGGTGTGAGAATGCAAGAGATTTGAAAACAAGAGAACGGCTTCGGGTGTATTTTGATAAGCTTACCTAAGGTTTCTCCGTGTCATTAAGATAACATACTATTGATTTTCATGGCATTTTCTTGACCGTTTTTGTTGGATGTGGTTGGTATTTTCCTGGTGATTAACACTCGGACTGTGTTTGTGCGGCAAACTCAGGTTTCGGGATAACTGCTTGGTCGGACCGCATGTCTCACACGATGAGAATACTTGGACCCAAAGTCGTTTGTCTTTACAAAACCTTCTCGTGTTTAGCAATGATTTACTTGATCAATAGACTGTGGAAAGACAAAGTCAAATACGAATGCACAACCATTCACTGCCCACTAAATTTACTCATGTCTCTTGGGAACATGATTGCAGGCAGAGGGTGATTCAGTTGCACAATCACAGTTGTCTCGACGAGGAGAGGTATCCTTAGTTTCAACTTCCAGTTGGCATAACATCTTTCAACAGCAGTTTGTGTTGTAATGGTTTCACCTATGTGTGAGTACCAAAATTGTGTAAACAGAGAAACTGATAGCTATTTAGGTTTGTTTCTTTGCTAAAACATTGATGCCGTGGTGTGTCATGCAGGGCTACGAGCCTTCGTTTCACAGAAAGGTACCTGCATGTTCTTCGTTTTATTCAGAACTGCAAGGCATTTGTCCAGACTGGAGTTCCGTAGGATTGTGTGTTTTAAACCATGTAATTCTTGTGCAGACCAATCCAATTCACTTCGACAATTCTTATTCTAGGTCAAATTCTGCATCAAAAGAGTCAGATGAGATGGTCATGGGAGAGAATGCCTGCAACTACGGTATATACAACACTAAAGAAGTTTTAGAAGAGGCTTTATTTCGTGATATGCCGGTAATTCGAAACACAAGTATGCTTTTGTTTGCACCTTCCTACAAGAAGCATAGTTAAAATTGCGAATTTTTCAATTATTGTCTCAATTTGCAAACACAAAATGCAGAGGACATCAAAAACTTCATGATTGTCGAACAAATTTTTCTGTAGACCTGTTCATCGAGGGAGCATGTGGGATCTTCAGGAAACTCTTTCTCTAGTGGCCCCAAACTGGCACCGAGGAGATTGCGTTGCTAAACTGCAGGTATCACTTGGTTCATTTCGCTTGGCAAACATCTTCTCGCTAATTATCATCTAGTGGATAATTCTTGCTCTCCGTGATGTGCTGCTCTTTCTACTGTGACCTTGTTAGGACACTTACATATTGCTGCAACGCCCTAAAGACTTCAGACATGTTAACGTGATTTCAAAAGAATCTGAGAACTTTTGTTTGCTAATCAGAAGATAGAAAAAGAACTTGAACAGTTTTCAGAGGATTTTGGCAGTCAACTACGCAGTCTTCGGTGAGTTGCAAGTTGCTAAATCTCCTGTTTGTGTATTGGTACCATTCGTGCACACGGTGATGCTTAGTGCCACAATGTTAATGTAATAGAATTGGAGTGAAATATTGTTGGTACAAATCTTGATGCATTGGGACGTAATGCTCACATCAAATATTGAACATACCGTTTTTAAGTCTTATGAGTGAGTGATTCAATATTTAATTGCAGGATGTCCATGAGAAATTCAATTTTATCAACTTCAGAGTTTGAAACTTGGGGAGAAAGTTGTCCAAAGAATGCGACATCCAAAGACAAACATTTCAAGCTTGGGTGAAAACTGGTAAATCAAGATGATAATGGCGTGCACGAAAATTATGATAAAATTGCATCTGTTCGATGTTTCTACACACCAGGTTTTACTTTGTATGCTATAGTCAATAGATCTGTGGTTAAATAAAAACAGATCTGAATACTTGTGACATACCTGATGAAAAAGGCGTCCACCTCGTACATTTCTGATTGTTGGAGCCAGACGGCTAATTTCGGATATAAACAATACTTGATAAGCTCTGGCCGGAGATTGAGTTGCAAGCTAGCCATACAATGCTGCAAATCACATTCAATTAAAAATGACCCTTATTCTAACATGCAAGTCAAGATAGAGTGCAATTGTTTGACACATGGTGTGCAATTAACACCCGTAGATTTGAGACTAATTTTCTTATTCCTGCTGAGCAAATTACCTAACCAACAGCATAACTTGAAACATCATCGATCCAAAATCCTAGCATAAAGCTGTCTGCTGAAATGAAAACCTGCAAAATATCAAATGCAAGGACACATGCTAAAAATGTCTTTAGTAGAAACAATTGCGGCTCTCTGAAAGAAACTAGTTCACAAGGAAGAGATGAACACTTGGAATGTCTAAAGAGATGTGTAAGAGAAGATTGACAAAAGGGACATTTCTAACTTGGAGCCAAGAATTAGTAGTAGTGGATTGAATGTGGCTCTTTTGTAGGACATTTTAGTGTTTCATCTACCAATCAAATATCTAGGGCTAAAGGCCCTTAACATAAGACTCAAGAATTATTCTTTTTTGATTTTTGACTTCTTTGATTGTACTTGCACCTTTCTATATAAATTAAGAATATGATTTCATTAACTTCTCTATTAATTAATAATCTTAAATTCTTAATTCTAATCTAAGTTAAAGATGTGATATTGTCCAATTTATTTAGCAATAATGTCAATCTTAAATACCAACTTGTATCAAAAATATTTAAGGATGTGAAGTTGCTCAATTTATTTGGCAATGATGTCAATCTTGAGTACCAACATATTTTAATAGAAATCATAAATGTAAGGTTATCAAATTGATTTGGTTGTAATGTCAAGCTTCAATACCAATTCATATTAAAAATTATCAAAGATATAAGATTTTTCAATTTATTTGTCAATGATGTCAAGCTTGAGTATCAACTTATATCAAAGGTAGTTAAAGATGTGAAATTATCCAATTTGTTTGGAAATGACATCAAAATTATAATAATATCATAGACGTATATATTTATTTACATAAGAAGTATTAGATAGAATATAATTGTAGGTAGATTTGATACTATCTTATGGCAAAACTTCTAAGAAGCTTCATAGACATACAATTGCCTTAAAACATGCTTGTAATTGATTGATAGATTAGAAACTTGGCCAACAAGTTAGCTAAGTGTTGATAGCTTGTGGTATAAGTTAATTAGGTGATACACAAGTAAGAAACTTGTCTTGTAAGTTAGACACATGTCTTGCAAGTTGGATACATATTTGACATCCTATAGAATGTTGCTATATAGCTCCTAATTAGATAGTATATAGAAGCAAGAATGAAGCCTTTTTCACTCTTGTCAACACCTTTTAGTCTTTAATCTTATTAGAAGACTTTTTAATCTTCTTATTTTTGGTAATAACCATTCTAGTTTAATATTATACCATCTTAGAGTGATTTTTTAATCTTTTTGAGTGATTTAAGAATGTACTGATCTTTTATTTTTTTAAATTCATGTCCTTAACAATTTGACAAGAGTCTTAATTCATTATTCTTGTTTTGTCTTAGAAATGAGTGGATTATTTTACTTCTATTATTATATTTTAAAGATTTCAGATTATTCATCTTTAAGTTAATAATTAATTTTTTAACATTAATTTTTTCTTTAAAAAAAGGAGATTTCTTCTCTTTGTAGAAATTTTTATTTGATATTAGAGGTTTTAAATTACCTTTCTTTAATTTGACTTTTGAATTTGTTTGAATTGTCTATGGAAGGAAAAATTGTAGATGCTACTCTTGGCAAAAGTGAGAATAAATTTATAACTATTGTAGATTTCTACAAGTTTATCACCACTCTTAGAATAGAAATTTCATGTATTTTTAATATGAATCATGGATTTACTATTACTATATCCATAGAAGAAGTCAACAATGAAGTTCAAATTCTATGGCAAGAAATTGTACAATTGAAAGAACCAAATAGATCAAGTTCACAATTGAATCCACCTAGTACCTTTTCATTCTATGAAGTTTTTAGTGGTCAAGTTTAACTATGAGACTTACAATAAAGAGCTTCTTATAATCATGGATTCATTTCAAGAATGATGCCATTATCTAGAAGGTGCTTTTAGTCTAGTTACTACATATAGAAACCATAAGAATCTCAAGTATTTCATATTGGTACATATTTTGAATCATTGCCAAGCTTGTTGGAGCATGTTTTAATCATGATTTGATTTCAAGATCACTTATTGATCCAAAAAACAACAAATTTTGTCAAATATCTTTTTTAGAAGTTCTTACTTTGTATCTAAAAAAAATGCAGCTTTTGATTAACAAAGAATGATTCTCTTGAAATTGGAGTATTTTCATTTTTGAGTAGTAAAATCAACATTGACTATTGATTCAATCTTTCTTAAGGAAGTTCAATTAAATATATCCTTTCATCATCATGTAAATGATATTCAAACTAATTCTTCTAAGTCTAATGATTCTTTTAAGTTCAACTTTAAGAATAATCTCATCTATTTTGAGGGACAATTATATATTCCAAAAAGTAAAATATAATTATATATTCTTCAAGCTCGTTATGACTTTCCATCAACCAAATATTTTAGATACAAAAAGACTTTAGGGCTAATATTTAGAGATTTTTGGTGGCCTCAAATATAAAAGATAATCAAAGATTTTGTACAATCATGTGATATTTGTTCAAGATCAAAAATTCCTTATCATTGATTTTATAGACTTCTTCAGCCATTACCTATTTCAAAATAATCATGGTCTTTTGTTTCTATAGATTTTATTATAGATCTTTCAATCTTAGATTCTTATGACTTTACATTTATAATAGTAGATCAATTCACCAAGATGGCATATTTTATATTATGTACAAATTTTATTATAGATAAAGAAATATCTATTATATATATATATATATATATTAATATTATGGATTATTAAGAAATATTATATTAGAAAGAGGGACTCAATTTATATCATGATTTTGAAGAATTTTTTTTAAGATTCAAGTAATGGATGTAAAACTATCTTCAATTTTCTATCTTCAAATTGATAAACAAATGAAGAAGATGAATCATGTTTTCGAGCAATATTTGAAGTGTACCATCAATTACTAATAAGATAATTGGACAACTCTTTTGCAATTAGCAGAATTTGCTTATAGTAATATGATATATTCTTTTATTCAATAAATACCTTTCTTTGCCAATTATGGCTATCATCTATAATTTGATATTTTTGACTTTACAAAAATTGATAATCATACAATAAAAGATTTTAAAAATTATTTATTAGAGCTACATGTAATAATGAAGGTACACCTAAAAAAAACTCAAGAACAACAAAAATTCAATACATAAGCTTATTACAAAGAATAACTTCAATTCTATATTAGCAACAAGATATATTGGCAACTTATTTTGTTATAATATCAAGACTATTTGTCCTTATGACAAATTATATTACCATAGACTTAGACCATTTCTTATTTGTAAATAGATCAATCCAATTGCTTATTGATTGTACCTACCAAAGTCTATAAAGATCTATCCCATGTTCCATATATCTCTTCTTAAGCCATTCAAGGCAATAAATATATCAAAAAGTCAACAAATACCACTTCTTCTTATAAAAGTGGATAATAATCAAGAATATAAGATTAAAGTAGTCTTAAACTCAAAGCAATGCCAAAATAGGTTGAAATATCTTATTCATTGGTATGAATATGGTATTAGTGAAAGCACATAAGAGCTAATTAAAAATCTTGTAAATGTAATAAAGAAGATTGATGTTTTTTATTGATGACATCTATCAAAACTAAGATGAAGAAAAGTTACAAAAACTTTAATACTAATCAAATATCAAAGTGATCTTATTGCTCTAGATTAAAACATTATTGATGGTTGAGAAGATCTATCAACTACCTTCAAAAGAAATAAAGATGAGAGTATGTGGCAAATATAATTTATTGCATTTTGGACTTCCTCACCATATGATTGCTATTCCTCATAGAATTTGTTCCTAGAAAGAAGAATAATATCATAGAGATGTATATTTATCCAAATAATAAGTATTAAATAAAATATAATTATTGATAGTTTTGATATTATCTTGTAGCAAAACTTCTTAGAAGCATTATAGACATAGACTTGATTTTAGGTGTATTTGTAATTGATTGATAGGTTAGAAACTTAGCCAAGTAGTTAGCTAGGTGTCGCATGTGTTGAGAGCTTGTGGTACAAGATAATTAGGTGGTATATAAATAAGAAACTTATCTTGTAAGTTAGATATGTGTCTTGTAAATTGGACACATGTTGGAAGTCATATAGAACATTATCATGTAGCTTTTAGTTAGATAGTATAGGTAGAGGCAAGACGAGAGCCTTTGTCACTCTTGTCAATGCCTTTTTAGTCTTTAGTCTTGTTTCAAGGCTTTCTAGTCTTCTTGTTTTTGGTAATAATTATTTTATTTTAATATTATATTATCTTTAAGTGATTTTATAGTCTTTTTGAGTGACACAAGAGTATATTGATTTTTTAGTTATTTAAGATTCATGTCCTTGATACGTACTTACTAATCTTTTTAAAATCACATTGCTAGTAATCTTCTTAGATTATAGTTGCTATTCTTTTCTAACTTGCAATTAAGTTGTTATTTTTCTATAGTATTTTTACTTGTTTGTGAGTTGCCTTAACTTGGTACAACCATTTTGATGCTATTTCTTTAAGCCATTTTTTTTGGTGTCCAACAATCACTTATTACTTATCTCTTGTCCTTTCTTATATTAGAGTTTGGCACATGCTTTTAAGATAGGAGTATTATTTATATAGGGAATTGGTAGAAGCTACTTCTTATCATTTTATTTGATTATTGGTTATAAAATTAAGACTTATAATCTAAAATATATTTATTAATAAATTTTTTTTTGAAATTGATATTAATATTGGATGGTTGTTGCTACATCTTATTTCTTGATGGTAGTACTTAATGCAATGCTTAAAATTCATAGAGATGATTCAATAAGTAGAATGTCTTTGATTGTGATTGAATTGCAAAACTACAATGATTGTTAAGACTAATCTTGGCTCACATTTTTTACTATTAATTGTATTATAAGTTATTGAAGATTCTTCTAAAGAAAAGAAAAAATCAAAAAAAAAAATAAAATAAAGATAATAAAATTTATAATAATAAAATAAAATATATAAATTATAGTAATAAAAAAATGGAAGCTACCTAAAACTTAATGCTTAGGCCACAAGCCTCATGGTTGCTAGAAAGCTTCTACAAGACCTTATTTGTAGTCAATAAATAAATAAATAAATATATATATATATAAGATTGATGTCATCTTCAATGTTTTCAACACCTATCTTCTATATTAGCCTTAATTCAAGAGTCTCTAATCTTATTTTATTTGGCAATAGCTATTTTAATTCTCTTGTATCTAATAACTATTTCTTCTTTTCTTACTTTTACTCTTCTTTGATAATACATGAATATATTATCATGAGTTGGATACAACTTAATATATCATCAGCGTCAATGAGAATGGTCCTAATGATCCCAGTGGGCCCCCTTTAGAGCCACCCCACAACAAACAGGCCTCAACGCCAGACCCTTCCTCCACGCTGCACAGCTCACGACCTTTGGAGTTGGGAACCAAACCTGCAAAGCCTAATAATCACCAAATTTCAAATCTACCGACGTATCCAATACGTATCGAAATGGGCTCCAGAATCAAAACAGAGTACTGCATAGAATATAGATCATCCTCTTCGTCTCCAAGACATTATCAGTAACATAAAAGGAAGGTTACAATACTGTAGCAATACTTAAGATAAAGAAAATCACCCGCACGATACTTCCTCAGATTACCCAGTAACAACTGCTCGTTGAGGTTTACCCTTCTCCCCTACAAATTGAATAACATTTTATCCCATCAGAAAAGAAAACCAGCCATACTCACAACCTCTTCTGCAATTCGGGAGCTCGAGTTACAATATTGAGCAGAAAATCTACCAATGCTCCAAGCATGCCAATCATTGTTCACAAACATGTAAAGAGCTTTACATCCATGTCTTTGTGTACAATGAGGAAATCTGGATTGAAAGCACATGACTCCGTCATAAATACCGCCCATGCAAAGTTTTACATTCATCTTTCTTACTCATGCTGGCTTTGCCCAATCAATTCCACAAATGAGAAAATCATAGAGACGTAGAAAGCAGACTTCCAGAACCAACATAATGTAATAAAACAATTCCGAACATTGTTGACCTATCATTCTGCAGTATGGAACCGTGCTTAGGTACGGGGATACGAAGCAGCGTGGTTTGGACCCCGCGCCGCTTAGTTTCCCTTCCGATTGGGTCGTCATCGTCGTAGTTGTCGTCGTTGCAGTGGTGCTCACATGGGCATGGGGGCCATGCAAGTATCAAGGACACCACCAACAAGCTTTTAGTTTTACGATTTCTTTTCATGACATTCGGTGTCTGGTAAAGAGTTCATGATCTCAGTTGTACTGTTGGAAGCATTGATTCCAAGAGATTTGACGCAGTAAGCTTGAGTTTGTAGTGCAGCTTGCACATTGAGTTGTTTCTCAAGGTGAGTTTTGGGGGGAATTGTTGCTAGTGAATGGGGGGGGGGGGGGGGGGGGGGGGGATGGGAGGTTGTGAGGTGCAAGGTTACAGGTATTAAATTCGGGGATTGAAATGTAGGTAGTGTTTGGTGCAGGAGTGGATTTCGAAACTGAAACTGAGGCAGAGAAGGAGAGAGAGAGAGAAAGGAGATTGGAGAGAAAGCATGGCGGAATCTGCGTCTGGGGAGCAAGGCCAGGAGAAGCTGCAGCAATTCCAGGACGTGACTGGGGTGAATGACCCTTTGCTTGCCGAACAAATTCTCGATGCTCATCAGTGGGATCTTGGCGCGGCAGTTGGCACCTTCATGGACAAAGCGGTAAAACTTTGACTCTCTCTTTCGCTCGCTCCTCCTCCTGCAGATACTATGTTTGAACAGTGGAGTCTAGTTAGGTTAAGTTAATTTCTCGCAGAGATGGGATGCTTAATGGATAATAACGATGGCGAATGCTGTTATGATTTCGTGTCAACTTGGATTGCCCGGAAGTTTATGGATGTCTGTAACAGTAATACTTATCATCTCTATTTTGCTTTGGATGCATGATGATGATTTTTCTACAAGCTTATAAAATACTTGGAATGATATAGCATTGCCAATGAACAGTAGAATGTTGAGGAGAATCAAGGTTGTTAGTGTGAGGATGGCAGTATCGCATTGTCCTTGATGATGATGTACTGGTTATATTCACTCTCATTTCGTTTGTGGACTTATGTCTCGGTTTTGAAAATATTCTGCCCTATCTAAGAGCACATACTGAATATTATCTGTAATTTAATCAGCAAATCCTATCCTCCTCAATTTCGTTCTTTTACAGCATTTACTTGTATCGATTTTGTTCACTGAGGAGAAAGAGATGTGTTGTAGCTGAGAAGAACACCGTAGCAAGAAGTCTAGTAAATTTTCTCCATCCTGTTTCGTTCCAAAATCTCCGCCATTTTCTCATTCTAGTATATGCTTGCTATTATACTCCTCAAGACACTCTGTTCAGGTCAAAAGATATGCCAGTATGAATTGGCCGAACATTAGACCTGACTTTTTCCTTTGTAGTTTTTGTAGGAAGGAGATGAAAAAAGAAGCAAATGTACAATGTATTGTAATGTAAAACATCATGACTGTTTTTCCTCGAATTGTATTGTAAGTGAGATCTTTGGCTCATTCATGATGTTTCTTATCTGGAGCTGTGCAGGGGGTTGAAGCTTCCAGAGCAGATGCTAGAGGGGGGACGATTGATTGGGATACACCGGACGAGACCACTGGTCTGCTTGAAAGGGGACTCGTACCGGCTTCTGTGAGCCCGTCTCATTATGGAGCTTCAGAGGGTTTCGTATTACAGTCGTCCAGATCTAACTATGATAGATATCAGGGATCTTCTACGACGTTTGAAGGGCCTGGGGAGTTTCATGGTACACTACCTAATGTTCGCTACCGGCCAGGACCTCATGTTGTGTGGAGAGTAGTTGCCCTGCCCTTCTCAATTATACGAGGAAGTTTCAATCTTGTATACGGTGCTGTAGTACTTGGGATGTGGATTGCAGGAGGAGTGGTTAATCTTGGACTGGGAGCGTTGGGGTTGCATGGGTCAGAGCGGCGAGGGAATCAGGTCTCATCTATTTCACTTGGAACTGCCGATGCGGAGGCATTTTTGCGGAAGTTTAAGCAGGAGTATGGGAAAGTTCATCCTGATTTTCAGACAAGCAGTTTTATGGACGCTCTACGTCTTGCCGGTCAGCAGTTCAAATTCCTATTTGTGTATTTGCACTCTCCTGAGCACCCAAACACGCCCTTGTTTTGTGAGAGGACGCTATGTTCGGACTCCATTGTTCAGTTTGTGAACGAAAATTTTGTGGCCTGGGGTGGGGACGTGCGAGAAAGCGATGGGTTTCAAATGAGCAATAATCTCAAGGCATCTACCTACCCTTTCTGTGCTGTTGTGATGAGTTCGAACAATCAACGAATTTCACTTCTTCAGCAGGTTCGACGTTTGGACTTACTGCAATTTTTACTTACGCTAAGATGGGTGATTTTTAGTTAATTATCTCTAGTAGTAAAATCTGTTGATCATATTGTGTGGATTAGGTTTATTGCGTCCCATATGTGAAAAGGTAAAGTCTTCTATTTGAAATGAATTTTTTCAGAACATATTCAAATTTAATCAACTTTATTTCGATAAAAGAGATTAGAGGGGGGCTAAACATCCAACTACATGCTCTGTCTAATTACCATGGACTGTGAACAGAAATCCAGAAATTTTACTTGACTGCTTGTTATATTTTAGTGGACGTGGGCTCAGGGGGGAAATCTGTTATATTTTGGCTTCAACCTATCACTGTCCCATGAAATGATGGTATTTTAACTGATTGTGACTTTGAAACAGGTAGAGGGTCCTAGGACAGCAGAAGAGTTAATGTCCACGTTACAGAGAGTTGTTGAGGAACAAGGTTCAGTTCTAGTGGCATCTCGTGTGGAGGAGGAGGAGCGACAACTTAACCGTCGTTTACGTGAGGAACAAGATGCAGCTTTCCAAGTTGCATTGCAAGCAGATCAGGTGTTGGGCTTTTTCCGGATCGGCTTGCTTCTACATCTTTGCTGTTGGTTTATTGGATCCTTATGAGTACTGACTTGACTAATTTATATAAGTACACACCCTCACTACACGTTGGTCCTTTGAATACTTTGATTTTGTGCATTAGGGAATGTTTGTCCGAGATGTTCACTACATCTGACAGTGCTTATAGAGCTTATTGGTGAACTTTTTACAACACTAACGGCTGATGTTAGGGGGCTTGGGTTTAAAATGGATCAGGAGAGAGAGCGCTTGAGACAACAAGAAGTTGCAAAGAAAGTCACCGAGGAGGCAGAAGAAGAGCTGAGGAAGAAAAGGGATGAAGAAGCCGCTCGACACGCTATTCAAGAAACTGCAGAAAGAGAGGCAGCCTTAGAACAACGAAGATTGGAGAAAGCCATGGCACTGGGTGTAGAGCCTGAGAAAGGGCCTGATGTTACGCAAGTATGTATTTTATCACTGGCTCCCGCTTCTCTGCTCAATTTTCTCTGCATTGAATTCATGTATGTAAAGTTTTCTAAATTTTTATATCAGTGATTAGTTATTAATGATGTCGCGTCGAGCATGATCTCGTTCATTTCGCATAATGTCCCCTTTTCTGATCATGCAGTTGAAAACCTCATTACTTGCTCTGTGTTCCGGAACCAGGTGTTGGTACGCATGCCCAATGGTAACAGGAAAGAACGACGATTTCAGAGCAGTTCAAAGGTGTCAGCGATTTATGACTATATTGATTCATTGGGGACACTGGGAATTATCAAATATGATCTGGTGACCAACTTTCCTCGCGTAGTTTATGGACCAGAGAAGCGGTGTCTAACTCTCAAAGAGGCTGGCCTGCACCCACATGCCAGTCTTTTTGTTCTTGTGGAGGATAACTAGGATGTATGAACTGTACGTTTATGCATTAAGGCTGTGAAATGTCTTGCGTAAGGCCTCCTTTTTTGGAGTGCTCGGTGGTCAATCATGGGCTCAAGCAAAGTTATTTTCCAGTCTGTTTCCCGTTCCATCGCAGAATTTTGTGATAGACTTGATTGCACTCGGATTAATTCTTTATATTTCGTTCGTCCCTCAAACACAATTCAATTGCGTCGCTTTTTAGCGCAAGAATCCATGAGTTTCTTTTTCCGATTTTCCCTTGCAGTCAACGCATAGAATTGTGCGTCTCATCCACTGACCTGTTTAGGCATGGTAAAATTCCGTGGATTCGGCCATCCATTTTTCCTTTTACAGAGTATATGCCTACCTCTCGCTCCCAGCTTGATGTCATGTCTACATGAAGATGATAATTGTTCACATATTGTGTAAAACTGATTCTCTTTGAAGTTGTACCACTGTTGCTATGCATCTGATAGACTAAGGTTCGCTTTAAGGGCATCATTTATTTGAAAGGACAGCTGAAGTGGTATTTCATGAATTATTCTAAAGGATCTAGGCACACACAGAACGCAGTAGACTCAAGGTGTGGTGCACCTCCAAGGTGGTGAATAAGTGACCCACCTTCCTCACCATACTGGTATTGACATCCATTACAGAGCAGTAGACTGGGAACTTGATAGCTAGCATATCTAAAAATGTAACCATGTTGATGGTCCAGAATTCAAGATTGAGAATTCGGAGTGTCCTAAATCACAAAAGGAGTGTCTATTTACATAAGGGATGTCTTATCAAGTTTATACTGAAACATGTGAAATGATCTATCTAAAAAAATTGTTTTCTTTGATAGTTTTGACCACGTACTAAAAATGTTATTGAACAGGATACCTTGAGTTTTATGTACTGTTAAGCTATACATATCTAAAGTAAAAATAACTAACGATTACTAGGAGACCACACAAAATTGAGCTCAAATATTTGTTCCACTATTTGGTTAAGAAGTTGGTGCTAGCATCAAGGCCTTCACACAAAAGCTGAAGCCAATAATTAAGAACACAACCTTCATCCGCACATTCCAGTTTTCACCGCACCAAAATTAAGGTTTGCGACATTGACAGCTGAGAAATTTGAATCACTTGTTTTAGGACAAGCACTTGACACTGGAGCCTGACATTGTTGGTCAATTTTGCTTCAGATCTCCTTGCCCCACACTCATGAGGCAACCCTTACTGCACTCAGTTCCATCCCATTTAGGCCTGAAATATAGTAGCTCCATCAGGGATGTTCAGGTTTTGTAGTTCTGCTGACTTGGATTCATCTTCCGCCCTGTAGAGCTCAGAACACAAAAACTCCAGCAGCGTACAAGTAAACCAGTTGCTGCCAACAATCAAATCGACTTATTCAACTAAAGAAACACTTAAAGATTTTAAGCTTCAAGAATCAAGTGTAAACAAGTGGATAAATGATATAAGCGGACAAAGATGATAAATCTGGAATTCATGCAAATGAAAACCTTGAAAAGCTCGTCTTTCAACGTTACAGTTGTATGTTTGTCATATGGTTGTCACATATTCTCTGATTTCTCAGATTTTTCGACATAATAAGAAATTCACAAGTGAGGGAGGTCAACAAAATTGTAGCCGTGCGGAAGGGTAATTGCAATGGCATGGTTTCACATCTATCACATAAATTGCTCCAGAGTTTTTTCTACTCTAGCAACCCTGGAAAGCTCTCGTTCTACAATCGGCTTACTTGACATTGTGCGAGACAAATCAAATCTCTATGAATCATCCTTCCTCCTGGCTGTAAGGCAAACAGGCTAAAGCAACTTCTTAACTAACTACTTTAACAAGCATCTGTGCTTGAAACTCTTGAATATTCACCCAAGGGAGGTGATCACTGGTGTCTGGTGAAACTGTCACTCTTGTGAACGCGCTCCAGTTCCTCAAACACTAGGAAGGTCATTACTTTCTCACAAATCATATGTCGTAGGGGGGGAATGTACCCAGATCATTTAGTTGCCTCGAGTAAGTCAGCAAACCATTTGAAGTTACGACCATTCCCCGATTCCGGCCGGTGATTGAAGGAGTGCTCAGTACTCATTAAGAACGTGAAAGCCTTTGGTCATCGTTCCATTGTTGTAGTAAAGATTTGCCTGCTTCGTACGTAGACCAGCAGATTGCAGCTGCTGGTGTATGGAATAGTACACGAGGTCGCATACCTCTCCAAAGTGCACCTGGGCCTTCCCGTTTAACAATGTTGCGGGCTACTGCTAACACAGAGCTGTTTTTGTATCTATCAGCTCCACATACACCCTGTACATGGATACCAAGAACAGCATTAAAACTTACATGCTTCCTTGTAGGATCCCAAGCAATACACAAAAGGAGATACGACCGATTGTACAAGCAACTGGATTAAGACCAGAGTTGTAGCGGACCGTGAAGTTGTGACTGGCAAAAAATATTGAGTAGTCTAGAAAACTGGAAAATCAGAAAGCCGATTAGACCATTAATACTACTTAAGAGAGACTTCCAATGACTAATACGATCAAATAGTCAGGAAACTAGTTAAAACCTACATTTCATCTCAAGCGTGAAGACTGTAATTTAGATGACCAAACTCGCCGAGCCAGTTAGCTAACTTATAATTGCGTTGAAGCTCAAGTTCAGATGACCAAGACTTACTTGGCATTGCAACCTTGTCTTGATCACGTCAAGCGGGGTTGTAACAGCGCTAGCCAATGCTCCAGCGGCTCCACCAGCAGTAATATGCATCAGCAAATGTTCCTCATCCGCATAATCTGGATAAATGTCTCCTAAGACCTATGTCATGCAATTTTAATTCCTCGTCAGAACTTGAAAAATGCCAGCCACCAATGCATCCCAACGTCGTTGTATCAGCTCTTTCACTGTGACCAAGTCAAAATTGAGGGCTCAAAGATGTCCTAGTTGAGATCCAGACATACGCCACTCCACGATACCTCTACACTAAAAAGATCATAACAGTTCGATACTAACACATATTTCAACAGAGTAAGACCAAAGAGGCCAGCTCGAGTAATAACCGACGGAATTGTGCATATTAGAACTAATGTTTTATGTATTTTCTGCTACATCTGTTAAACTTATAAGTTTAAACTAAGTAAATTCGTCCCACTCCCCTCTCCACAAACCATTGTGACCGAGAGGCTTCCACCAAAAGTTCGCTACACACCGAGGTGAGGCTCTCTCACCCACGTGAACATAGTGTGCGACAGCCATACGCAGAGAAAGGTGAATCAAATCCACGCATGAACACGAGCAGTGCTGAGATTCACATATTTGGACAAACCTCAAGCATCTTCTGAAAACGGCCACCTCAGCGCCTACTCGCAGTCCTGGACTTGTTAGAGCTAGACGACGATTCAAGATTATTCTGATCGGTAAGAAAATCATTAAGGTGAGCGCACCTCGTATGACAATTACGATAGTGATTAAAGTCACTTATTGCAAGACTGCCGGATAGTCTTCCAGAAAACCTAGAAGATCAGTCGGCTGCCAAAGCAGACGACTTAGAAAATCACGATCTAGGAATCTGAACTATTCAGCACCATAATAAGGATGACCGCTTGACTGTTAGTGATAGTTGAGAAATGACAAGAAGACAGTCAAGTTCCCGACCGTCAAAATGAAAAGTCGTCAGTACAAGAAATAAACAGCACTTATAAAATCCCTTGAATACAAAATGCTGATATATATTCCAAGATCTCGAGACAGTCACCATTCCAATTCACATCACACCTGGGTCAGCTACCCCACAAATAAAAAAAACAAGACGAGAAAAACGTGTATTCGGAAAAATCCTTCAAACTCTCACCCAACAGAGAAACCCAGACAAAGTTGGAATTCAGGTAAGAAGAAGACGAAGAAGAAGAAGGAAAAAAAACGTACTTTCTTTCCCGCTTCGTAAGCCGCGAAATGAACAGCCGTGAAGGGGATGTTCATCACTACAGTGGTCCTGTAGGACTTGTAAAATGCAGAGAACCCTTCCTCTTTCATTGTCTTCTTAATGCAATCCAAAACGCCGTTGTAAGGGCTGTGAACCAGCTGCAACCGCTGCTTGACCACATCCATGGGCGTGAACACGGCATCACTGGCAATTGTAGCTCCAGCTCCCGCAAGCGCATGCGCAAATGGATGATGTCCGCTCTTATTACCCCCCAAGTATTCCTTCAACGTCTCGTAAGCGGCAAAATAAACAGCATGCGCTGGCCCTGCCCCAAGTCCCATAGCTCCAATTCCCCTGTACAACCCCAGCGGGCCATCCTTCATCAAAATTGCGAAAAACGCTTCATATACGGATCTTTGGGCAGCGCCACCAGCACACTGCAACATCTGCATGCGCGTCTTCACCAGGTCTACAGGGAACATTGCCATATGCTCCACCATGCCGGCCACTGACCCCGCCAGCATCCACTGGCGGAACCCCAATCCATCATGGAGCTGGTCCCGGTCCTGCTCCTGCTGCTGCAACACCGTCACGGGAGATGCCGAAGCATTTGCCGTCCCGCCATAGCAATTCTCCACGTGCTCCCTCTGCGCCAGAAACGGTCGCTCCCGTAAATCCCCTGCTACTCCCTCGGCCATGCGATGATAGCCAAGGGAAAAAAAAAACACCACTGGATCTCTTCTCCTCCTCCTCTTCAAAACTCAATCCCTCCCTGCAGAAACCCTAATCAAAACAAGGTTGTAGCTTTCTCTCTCACTTACTAAATCCCTCCCTGCAGATTCCCTATCAGAACACAGTTGTAACTTTTGCCCTCACTTACTCAATCCCTCCTCCCCCCTACAACTCCAATGTTATCCTACACCTCTTTTCCCTCATGCTACTAAACCTCGGAGCAATATCCGACGTTACAAAACCCTAGAGCACAGCTGCAGCAGCCACGGAGGACCCACCACACAGCATTATCTGTATTTCACACACAGATGCAGCTAATGAGGGGAAAAGGGAGGGTGTGGGTTCGATAAAAACGAACCCATCGGCCATGGTGGGGACGAAGCTTCGGGGGCGAGAGTGTGTGGGCGTGTGTGGGGCTCATGGCAGTCACGCTGCTCTCGAGCTCTCGAGCTCTCTCGCCCCACTCTGCCTTTGCCTTTGCTTCTGTTGCTGCTTTGCTTTTGGTTCTAGGGTTTCGTTGCCTCTCCTTTTGCCATTTCCAATTAGGGTTTTCTATTTTGGCGTTGCTTTTTGAGCAATGTTGGGAAACAGGCGGAAATTCTCGATTGCTGCGGGATCTGTGCACTGGGCTTTGTGTTTGGTGGCAATGCAGGCCATCTGATTGTTGTTGGAGATGGAAGTCGGTTCATAGGATTGCATCAATTTACTCCATTTCTTGGATTAGTTGAACAGCATCCAGGATAGACGTTTGTGTGTGAAATTAACTATTGTTGTTATAGAATCCTAGATGCATAATATGTGTACATATATACATATATATATATATATATATGTGTGTGTGTGTATGTGTATTGCAATAGATGAACATTTTGACCAAAAGTTGTGGCATTTAGTGTCATTTAGTTTTTCTATATCTAAGTCAATGTATGTATGTATGTTTTTCCCTTTCTTTTTTACCGAAAGAGTATTTATAGTAGGATTCCTGGTAACAAGTGGATTTCAGATTGATGAATTTAAATTGACTAACTTTTATCTACAAAAGAGAAAAATACCAACAAATATATCAGAATTTGAGTTAAACTCAAGAGTAAACATATCAAACAGAATTTCGTATGTTGATTGTTATTGAATTAAAAATAAATTACAAATAACTTCACATGTAATGCTGGAGTTGTAAAAAGTTAGTCCTCAAAATGAAAAAATCGCCCTTTATAAACCCATTTAGATAAAAACAATGTAGGTAGTCAAAAGTAAATGATACACACTTGTATATATATACAAACAGAAATTCAACAACTAATTTTGTAAGTTACAAAAATAATGCTTCTAACAGAAATATACTGGCATTTCTTATAAATAGAGTGCGCTAAATCATGATGCAGGGTTACAAATTTATAGCTAACGAAAATATTCTGATTAGTCAAATTAAAGTGGTTCAATTAAGAAAATCAATGTACAAAAAAAATTTATAATTTCTATTGTATTTTAGATGTGCAATTCGTACTCAAGGTATTCGATATGTTCTTAGGCTATTCATTATCTGCGATTAGAGGAAGTAAATTAATTTTATTCTTGGAATGGCTCTTAAACAGCGGAAACCAGTGAGATTTTATGTCAGTGTAACTCACCAGTACCAAAAATAACTGGCCATGTGAAAGAAGTGCTGCTACAATCAGGAGCGACCTTCTTATCCTGACCATAAAGCATTGGTTTAAATTATCTAATACTAAAAGGAGAACCTAGTAGGTCCAGACCAATTTTGGCTTGGAAATAGAATGAGTACCTTCTATTTACAAGCTTCTAAAACTCAACGTCAGCAGCAGTTTGTACAATTATCGATCAAAACATGTACGTTACAAACAAGATGCTGTGCTAAAGCTTGACCACTTCGTCAGATCATGGATTTTGAGAAACCCAATTCACACGTGGGCAATCCCCAACCTCAAGAAATATTGAGAATTATATAACACAAATTATAAATGAGCATTAAAGAAGACTCGACTAAAACTCAAGAATGAAGTACGAGTTGATCGTAAGAAGGGTCAGCCAGAATCGTTCAGAAGTGGAGCTGACTGCAATAACCTCTCGACCTCATCGTTTGCTTCAGCTTGTAACCTCCATGCCTACCATAACACAAGCTTGCCATCAGGTTCTGAGTAGAGGTTGGGGGCTGACATTATTGATGCAATACATTCAGGATTAACTTTAAATGACTTGTCAATGGAGCCTAGAACGCGGTTGAAAATGAAATAATGCAGAGTTTTATAATTAAGATACTACAAATTCAGGAGCAAGAATCCATGATCATAAAAGATAGGTTCTGTGCATGCTCTAACCTTCTGAAGATCCTCGACTTCCATCAGTCGCTCTATTTGCTCTGTTATTGCCTGTCGTCATTCACAACAATTAATAGGGTCACATGTAAGCGAGAGGAGCTTCGAAGACAACGGTCGAAACAAATATTTCTTTAAAGAAGTCATGTATCGAAACTAGTTATAACTTCTACGGAGACGATGATCCGTAGAAGGAAATTCAAAGAGAAGAAGCAACTAAAAAATAACTTATTCAATACAGGAACTTTAGAATAGAAAGATTAGGCAGCATATTTAAAACTTACAGATGCCCCAGCGCCCTCCGCAGCCAGCACATCAATATCCATCTCCACCTCAATCTCTATCATTGAAGCTATCTAAATTTTCACGATGCGACATCTTAAGTCAGGTACTGCAATGATGGCCAAACAACTTCAACGTGCTAATGAATCACTTTAAAAATAAAATAAAAGTTAACTCTGTAAGCAACACATAGCTACACTAAAAATGTTCAAAACGGCAGCAAGTACGGTTCAACTGAAAGGTAAAAATCCTGATGCTAAACATCCCCCCCCCCCAAAAAAAAAAGAAAAAAAAGAAAAAAAAAAACTCTGTATACCTTTGCATAGCTATAAATAAGTTCCAGACGCCCTTCAAGCCGTTCATCAAGAGTTTCTCGTGCCTTCTGTACTCGTTCCATCCGTGCACTGAGAAATCAAATAGTTTCACAGTTTTCAACGCCACGTCTTATGCGAATTCATCCGAATTTATAATGTTTTAGAGCTTATGAAGCATTTCCAACTATCGCTTCAGCACATGTTATAAATATTACACCTACCGACACTTCCTACATCACCATCCAAAGCATTACTGAGTATATTTGCATACAAATGGAGCTTGGAGACTGGCAGTGACCGCCAACAAACATTACACAAACGATGAGCAGATGGGTTTTAAGATACCTGTATGTGGGTTCGTTCACTGCTTCCATCTTGTTCTGAAGTTGGCACATGCGGGCCAGCATTCTGACCTGAAAAAATAAGAAAATTATTTACATTACATGTCTAAAGTTACCGCGGTAGAGCGTTGTGACACATTTCTTTAAGTGCATCCACATCATTTGGTGTTCGTTCATTCATTATAAAAGAATGCGAGATATGTAATTTGGTTGCAAAAGACCTATCTCTGTGAATTCAAAGAAATTGCTCTAGTGAAGATATCGAAATGAACTAAATGTAAGCGGAAAGGTTTTGAGTACAGAGATAGTGGGCTACATCATCAGCAGCTGCTTGTGTCAGATCCTCAAGCCGGGCTTGCAGTTTCTCATGTTGCGCCAGAAGCTGTTGCCGGAGTGCCAACGCATCCACAGTTCTCTGTGGTAACTGCACTTTACGAGTTTCGTAAGTTACACGAAAGCATTGGACCAACCGTGTTCAAACCCATATTCCTAACCATGAACTTTTTCTGAAACTATGTCACAACTCAAACATCAGCGCATTGCTAGTATTTAAGAAGGACTAAGTAGGGAGTGTACTAATCAACCAATAGCCTAAATAATTTCCAAATCTACAAACAGAAACTGTAGCAGGGTTCAATTATTCCAGTTTCTAAATCGCTATCTCCAGCTCGTTACAACTGACCAAAGAAAATTTATCGAATACAAAAATGAGTGGACTTAATACATTACAAGCACAGAGACCACCTGATTAATGCGGGGCAGAACAAAAGCATTGGTAGCTCCTCCAATAGCGACCACTGACGCAGCCCCGATAGCTATTGCTCGTGGGAGAGAAGGATCTATGAGAGCTGTTGCCGCGTCACTACTCGCGAAGAGAAGAACAGCAGGGATGATGAGAGAAGCATCGAAAGCTGCTCCACTCCCAGACTTCGGTGGAGGCCTAGAAAGGGATGAAATACGACCTGTGACGTGATTTGTTATAGCCATGGGCTCACTAGGTCTCCACCCAGGGGCTCTGGCATTGGTTTTGAAAGGGCCAATCCCACGGACTGCATTAGCGGGAGCTGCTGAAATTACAGTAACACGCTCTCCTTCCTGAGCTGGAATATCAGCGCTTTCAGTTGCACAGCGGTGTGTGCGAGCAAGACCATCTGGAGCACGGACCTGTGGCACCAGCCAAGTTCAAAACTTAAATACTTCTTTGGGGTCTCTGCGGAGTGCTGAACTCCATGGACGTCCTTTTGAATGTAGGACATACACCACCAGTTTAAAAATGAGAAAAAGGGGAAAACAGGGGAAAACAAAACAAAACAAAACAAAAGAACTTGCAAAATTGGCAGTCGCTCCTGTACCGAATAGCTTCATTTTAAATAGATTTCACTGCACATTCATGGTTAAGGAGATTTCTGAAGAATTCAAATTATAGTGGAAGTACTGCTTACCACTAACGAATGTACAGCTGCAGGGACCGGTCGCTTTAGCAACTTCACAAGCCGAAAGCCCCGCTCAAAGACCGAAATATTCATGCTGACATTTATTTATTGACGAAAAGAAGACTTGGTCAGAGGCCATAATATGTCGCACTAAAACTGAACGTGTACTTGAGATAACACAAGTAACTAGATAGAGACCACGAAAGCAACATCAATTTCATCATTTCCAGAACTTCATTGCATACATCAAATGCCACCATAACCATATTTATCCTCTTCACTCAATGCCCTACCTCAGCTAACTGAACAAAAGTAGCGTGACAACATATTAAGTACAGAGCTTCAGAAAGGCTGCTTACCTTATGGACTCCGATTCACATTCCACAACAGTGCCAGACATCAACTCATACTCGTAACGACATTTGGCACAAGGAGCAACCTGTCCACAATCAAACTCAGAAGGTCGTTCAGGGAGGAAAAACTCGAAATTCGATCAGAGAGAAAGTACAATAGCTGCACGCTGATTAAAGCTTCTGGTTGCAAGACAATGCAACAACTCCAAGACATTGCACGTTTATATTTTCGAAAATCACAATCACGTTTCATGAACAAGTATTTGACCACATTCTGGAATATTCACTGCCATAGATAAGGATGTGATGAGCACCTGGACCCCTTGCTGAGGTTGAACGACGGCGAGTGCGGTTCTGCAAGTGGGACAGCCGATAACTTTACCGAAAGGAACCTGCAACCCCCGTCTAAACCCAGTGTTTGAGGAAATACAAATTGCAGCCTTGTTTACTACTGTCGGATACAGGAACTGATAGTTAATCGAAGCATCGAATCTACCTTGTTTCAAGGAATTGCTTCAAAAAAGCATTCAAGGCAACATTTCTCAGTCTTGAAAAACCTTTGTGCATGACAATCATTCTCTGTCTGGGAGTTTATAGGTGTTTTTTTTGCAAATGAGCCTCGGTACCTCATCTCCAGCTGGAACTCCACGGCGTCGAACATCTGCTACTACTTCTATAGCATCTGCGACTCGCAACGAGGCTGCTAATCCCCGTACTAGGGTAGCGTATGTATTCACGTTCGGCTGCGCCCAACGCCAGCTTTCAATAAACGATGATTTCTCTGTCACATACACATGCAGTTGCAACAAGATCAATTCATTTCTACTTAAAAGTAATTATTCAACTATCTGTGATTTGTCGATGAACGGTACAGTCCACCACTGTTGCAATCTTCAGGTTAACACCCAAAATAGATATCTGTCCCGCATCTGAGAAGCTTCGTAAAAGTAAATGATGAAGCTAAAGCATTACCATCTCTACCAATTCGGCGTTGAATTACACTGCTGCGCATGGCATTCAAAACAGAGAAAGCAAGTTCTGAGTTCCCTAAGACCAGGGCTTCCAAGATAAGCTTCGAACAATCTTCGTTGCTCACCACACCGCCTTGGCTCCCAGCCTTCTCGGCTATCATCTCCAAAGCCACTCCTGCATCAGTCGCAAGCGCTACTTGCCTCCAAAAACCAGCACCGTCCAATACTACGGCCGCATTACTTGCTCCCTCTTCCGCCATTCTTGAACCTTCCGTGAATTTCGACTTTCTCCCAGCATTTTCAAATACCCTGGCAGTCGCAGACTCTGCTATCTTCCCCAAATCTTCCAGGTTCTCGCTCAATGGGGACTGCATCCCGTCCCCAACATCGCTCTCCCCACGAAGACTGGAGTCTTCAATTTCGACGGATTTATCCCCACCAACACGACTCCCCTTGCCAATCACATTTTCTAATCCTACATTAGAATCGTCCACTTCGCCAGAGCTTTCGGCTACATTGCCCTGTCCCTCTCCAGCTGCCGCAAAAATCGACACACACCTCCCACACTGCCTGCCTTTAACACCCCATACTTCTGCCACCTCCAGCCTCCAATCCTGCCCCACCCCGTGATTCCCTATCGCAAATATGCATTCTGATTCTAATTCCGAGTTGCGCAGCTCTCTAGAGCTTATTCTCGAAGCAGTTAAGCTGCGAAAGGATCTGATTCCCCTCCTACTCTGATAACCCGACCTGGATACCAAACATCCCACACCCACATTGAGCCCAGCAGCGCAACCCTGGACCACCATTCTGTTGCGCTTGCAAGAGGCTAAGGAGGTGCCTAAGACCTCACCCCGGTCTTCAGCATCCCCCTTGCAGCGTGAGAACCATTCTCTTGGAGTGTGAACTGATGACGCAGCGCACAGACACGGCCCCGAAAGCACGCTTGCCATCACATCATCCTACCTCTGAACCCCGCTTACGGCACCAGAAACCTCAACAATCCAATCAGATGCTGTGTCCGCGCAGGACCCCGGAAAGCCAAATTTGTCGCACAACATCCGTTTGTGATTAATTGCGCAAAGGAAAGCAAGCTACCCTGGAAGATTACGAAAGCTCTAGCTGAGAAAACGAACCATACGGCGTCACGGACACATTCCGAGAGATGACTGAAAGGTGCAAATGAGTGCTACTGAGGACTCCGTTGGAGATCGATTACAGCATGTGGGGATATGAAACTGCTCCAAGTGCAGAGAATCTGCGGCGTTTGAGAGCATTGGCTACAGCTTCACCCCTGGAATGATAAAGATGATGCCATATGAGGTTTCTTTCCGCCATTTCGCCGGTCGAATTTTCTGGCTGAGTAATTCGTTGTTGGGTTTCTCCTCGTAGCTTCAGTCAAGATTCAATGAAAAATTGAGGAAATTGAGACACAACTAGTAGGATTGTATTTAATTTTGCGCTTCGGACTTATCCTTGGCAGTTCTGGAATGCAATACTTATACCAGTTACAAGAAATAGACAAACCGTAAGTGGACGAGATATAGATTAAATTGTGAATCTCCTGCCATCCTGTGAGTGATTGGACACCTTTTATTAACGCCGCCAAAAGTTTCGCCTCTTGATTTTGCATTGCGTTCACGCCTCTTGGAGTCGAAAGGACAAGTTAGAAGAGGTGCTAATGAGGTTCACGGATTATCCCTTTGAACCAACTCTGGAGTTCAGCGCAAAAGTGACGCAATTGAAGACGAATTTTCGGTGGAAGTGTTGCATGAGGACGAGATCCTAGAAACAGATGAGTGACAATCCTTGGGTTTGTTTGCAGCGTCATGTTTTTCTACACGGCTTACTTGACTATATCTAAACATGAATACGACCCAAGGGATTTAATTCATCGCAACCCGCTTGCTATTTTCTTTCCTTCACAACTCAATTGGAATATCTGCCATTAAGTTATAAAATCTGAACGTAAGTGCGTGCAACCGATGCGATAAGAACAGATGGAATTTATGGATTGTTCTTGCAACCAGAACGTAATTGATGAAGGCTTTGATCACCTAAACGTAGGCACGAGGCTCGTAGAGGTGAACATCAGGAGAATGATCCATAAGGACATGGGATCCTGAGGTCGATGGAGGGGGCAATCCTGCACGCTTTGTGAGGCTTATCTCGACGCACAGGAATCAATCTCAACCAAGGCAAATGTGTCACAGAGGTCTGGTAGAGGTTGGGAAGGATTTGACGGCAGGCACCATGGCCGGTATTGCCCAACTGCTGGTTGGTCATCCTTTTGACACAGTGAAGGTGAAGCTGCAGTCTCAAATGAACAGTGGGAGCCATGGGCAACCGAACCCTAGTGCTGTGGATACCGTGAAGAAGATCATGGCCACCGAAGGACTCAGGGGATTGTACCGCGGCCTCAGCGCTCCACTAGCCTCTGTAGCATTATTTAACGCTGTCCTGTTCACTGCAAGAGGTCAAATGGAAACTTTTCTGTTGCGAAACTCAAGATCCTGCACTACACTCACCATTCCACAGCAAATGGTAGCCGGTGCTGGAGCTGGCTTTGCGGTTTCTTTTGTTGCATGTCCAACGGAACTTGTCAAGTGTAGACTCCAAGCACAAAGTAATTCAACACCATCGCTAATAACACCAGGAGAAGAGGATAAAGTACCAGTAAGTAATCAAACGACACAAGAAATGACTGCAAATACTGACAACATCGATTCTTCAAACCAGCAAGGAGAGATTGGACTAAGGACCTTGATAGTGGAGAGTACTGATAACCCAGGAATCTTGAGTGATCTTGAAGCTCCTGCAATTCCAAGGCCTTCACCGAGGAAGTACGGTGGGTGCCTGGACGTGGCAAAACATATATTTCGCCAAGGAGGTATTCTAGGGTTTTATAAAGGGCTAACGCCCACATTCCTAAGAGAAGTGTTTGGTAATGCGGCATACTTCGGATCCTATCAAGGTACAAAGCAGTTAGAAGGGGGCTCCGCAAGCAATCTAGGCACAGGTTCACTGTTACTCGCTGGAGCAGTTGCAGGGGCTATGTTCTGGTTGTGTGTCTACCCTGCAGATGTGATCAAGAGTGTAATCCAGGTGGATGACTACACAAATCCTAAGTACACTAGTACATTTGATGCGTTCAGGAAGGTAATCAAGTCGCGGGGGGTGAAAGGGTTATACTGTGGATTTGGGCCAGCTATGGCGAGAAGCATCCTGGCAAACGCTGTTTGTTTTTTTGTATACGAGCTAGTTCGAAAGGCTTTGAAGTAGAAAAAATAATATCAAAGAGGGAAATGTTTTCGAGACTGATAATAATCAGTCTAAAACAAAGTGGATTTTCATCACTTTGCAAGGGCATTTAGAGGACCGAACATAATTTTCTCCAGCTTGCTTAACCAATCTCATTCTCTACAACCAACTACCACATACACTTGCGATCCACCTCTGACATGAAGTCTCTGAGAAAGGTTCGAGCAGTCCACAAGGACGCCTCGTAAGATCGATAATAAACAATTGATGAATCTTGTGATTCATCAAATGTTGGTAGTATTATCGATAAGAAACATGGCATAATTTGAAGAGAAACTTAAATCAAATAGCTCGTTCTACCCACCCTGGAACGGTGATGGAACCCCTAATACCTAGACGCCGTAGAAAGATAGCGTACAGGACATGGAGAAGAAAAACAAAGGAGCCGCAGTTTACCACAAGCTGCAAGTAACATCACAAGCCAAAATTAGATGAAAGCATGGTAAACACAGTTGATGTGAAGCAACGATCCTGTTGAATCTGTGGACTGCAACACAACCTCCATCTTCCTAAATATTCACTAAATTGTATAGAAGAGAGACTACTCACCAAGGAGGCAAAGACAACATAAATCATCGGCATTGTTGGCACTAAGTTGATCCCAACTGCTGCTAGCATGTAGGACAATGATGCATGAGCATTCATGGTAATCTGCACAACATCTGAACACATGAGTTTTACGGGCAGGAGTGCTTCATGGCAAAGATCGGAGATATTTACACCATCCATCAAAACAGACATGAGTAGCCCATGTTGTCTAAATGATCTTTTCACTTCTTCTTCTTAGTCGACCTGAATTAAGCATGCCATTTCATGCAAGATACCAATTTCAGGATCTTGCAAAGGATGTTCCAACTAATGATTTTAAATAGCAGATTAAATCAGGTGAGTAACAATTGCACGAGAGTAACCACGAATAAATTACTAATACGTAGATTTCTTGTTCCTGAAAGCATGGCGAAAGACAAGCCAGACAATGACTTAAAAACTTACCAAAGCCAGAATATTATCCCTTAATAGCCATGAAGTTAGAAGAACAAATCCCAATGCTCCCAGACATCTAACCTGCAGAATCAGAAACGATTCGTCTAAAGTTAGGGCAATCATACATGGGAAGCTACATAACAAGCCATACAAACTATTAGAAGTAGGGACAAAGACTCACTACACTTAAGCCTACGTATCTCGAAACAACGCCGACTAGCAAAGGGCTTAATATAACAGGCTACACGTCTAATGAGTTAAATCAGCTTCATCGATAGATCAAAGCAATAATTAATGAGATGGATAACGTTGCCGGTAAAACTTCACATACACACACACACACAACTCAAATTCCAAGGAAGGTAATGCTCAATAAGCGACGGTATAGATTTTTACCACTGTGCAACCTACTATAGAAAGGCCCCAATTAAAGTTCCATCTGCAAATCAAAAGTACAAATATGATCAGATAATTGGTCATCTGCAAAACGTCAATAATTAAACATGAACTTTTTCCTTGGATCTTGCAGCTAAGGTAACTGAAGAATTTTGCATGACTTACTTCCAAAAGGCGCCCATCGCTAGCCCAACAAACCCATGCATCAACTGCAATCCATTCATTGTCACTTCATCAATTCCCTATCACTTTTCAAAGTTCAAAACCACACAAGATGCTGGCTCAGGCTGAGGTAATGTAGAATAAGCTGTGGGTCATCAGAGCGTGGGACAACGCATAAACACAAAGTTAGCATTTTGAACCTGCAAAGGATTTATCAAATCAAGATTGTCAAGTGACTGGCTAAGGAAGGTGGTAGATTACTGACCAAATAAGAAGCAGCCTTCAACGGTCCTGATAGTATTAGCAATAGCATAGCCGTCGCCACCTAAGAAAAGAAAAATAGAGAGAAGAACGCCACTTTAGGAAGGAGCAATCTGCCTTTCTCTCATGCCACTAGGAACACAAGCAACAATGAACAGGCTATAGAACTAGTGTTCTCATATCAATTTTCTTTACATGCCAAAACTTGGAAGAATGAGATGTAGTAGAAATGATGCTCTGGTCCAAGTAATCATACCATAGTCTTTCTGCCTGCTGCAGCTCCCCAACGCATAGAAGATATAACCACAGGTAAGGGGAAGAAACATCCAAAGTAGGCCTGCCATTCAACGCGCTCCCAAAATTAAATTACACCAACTCCATTTTCGAGCACACTGTCTCTTGTAAAATATTTATCCCCTATCAAGCATACCAGATACTCTAGCCAATTCCTTAAATTTTTTGAGACCAATCCTTCAATTTAGGTGAGACACCAGCACATCCAAACTGCTGAAACCTTATAACGTTCTCATAGTACACATTGACCTATACTTCTAAGTGAGAAGAGAAATACCTCAAGTCGAAGAAGATTACTAAGAAAGTAAGCAAGGCCTGCAGTGGCAGCTAGCATGGCACATTCTACTAATTGCACAGTATTCTGCAGCTCACTTCCATCTCCTGTTAAAACGGAACCATCATGTCCATCTGCTTTATCATCTGGCGTTGTACCTGCTGGTGAACCTGACTCCACCACTGCTTTGCAACAGAAATCCGCTCTTTCTTCTGGAAAGGTTAGTCCTATTCCTCTACTTGTATGGAACCCGAATTTATGTCCAAGAATTGTGCAATTTGCACTAGTTGAATCGAGACTACTCCTGCACTCTAGGGCTCCTACCCTAACTGAGTTTCTTGACCTCAATGCTCTCCTAACGACAATTATCCTCTGCGAACTGCATCCCATACATCTTGTTCGCTCAAAATTCCCACATAGCCCTCTGCAAGAAGGTCCTACGAATTCAGTTCTCCGCACACAGCGCTCATGAGATTGGCATGGAACGATCCCCTCGCCAGCCCGGCATGAAAGCCTGGACAAATTCATGATGCCTGAAGTGACTAAACCAAACTCTAACACCCTTGTTGAGACGTTTCGAGAAACCCGTCAACCCTCATACGATCAAGGTCATTCCTGGCTCCGCATCCTCAACAAAATGCTTCACGACACCAGTGCAAACAAAAGCTTCAGAATCAGGATCAACACGGAACAATGAATGCGCTCTCGGTGGTAAAACCTAACAGATGGCAAACAATCACTAAAATTTAGGTCAGGAAAGGACATGTCACTCTTCTTCCCTCAAAGAACAACCAAAATGAAAAAGAAAAAAGAAAAAGAAGAAAAAAAAGAACGCCACATCAACAAACTTCCAATACAACACAAAACAAACACCGGAATAAAAAACAAGCACAAGTTACACAGGGCTTCCCGTACCTCACGAACTCGAACCAATTATTCAGAAAATTGAGTTCGAGCGATTGGAATCACATGCTAGTCGACAAGAAAAAAAATCGAAATCAGCAATCACGGTGAAGACTCATCACAGAGGAATAGAAACACCAATTGACGAGCTCCGCTACGGCGAGCACGGGATGATATTGTGCAGGTAAATTTGAGCGAAGAGTCTAAGCACCGCATGAACCCATTTTCTCCAACAGCAGCATACACACACACACACAATCTCCGTCTCTCTGTCTTCGTATTCGTGAGCTGCATGAGCTCAATCGCGGGGCTTTGTCGAAGCAAGCAAGCAAGCAAGCAAAACATTATCCGGCTGGAAAATGTTGCCCAACACGCTCCATATTTTGTTTCGAACCCTCGCCGGGTGTGGCTTTGGGCCCCCTATGCCCTCACGACTTGGAAAAAAGAAGGAAAAAGGACATCCAATAGATGCAACGTCATCCCCACATTCTAATTAATTGATAAGTGTGTTTACTTTTTTTTTTTTCCTTCTTTTTTTAAAATATCTTTGATGCATGTGTATTATTGGTAGTAAATAAAGCTCAATGTGATTATTTTCCTTCTTTTGGTGTACTGTTGCTTTTTTATGGTTGAATTAATGTTTTTCTTTCGTGAAATTGTATGTTAATTTAGGATGTTTAATGTAATTGTTGTTTTTTTTTTCATTTGTTGATAGGAGGTTTGTATTAAAAAAATGTACTTTTGGATTTCTAATTTTTAATTTCTTATCTATATTTTATTATTACATAAAATAATAATGGTTTGAATATAAAAAATTATTTACTTTTGTATATATGTTTATAATGTATTTTCATAAATTATTAAAAAGAAGTTATTATAAAATATATATGTTGTTAGAAGTTTGACTTAATTTGAAAACTTATGATAAAATTATGGTTCCTAATCTTGCTAACTCTATATCAAAAGCATTACTTAGCATATCAATATTAGATTTCTATATGATGATTCAAAAAGATAATAGCAAAGATTGATAATATTAAAACATAACAAGATAGTTGAATAGATATATCTAAATATATAGAAGTTGATAAACTTTAAAATAAATAAAATTTATCATATAAATTGAGAAGTCTAAAACTAATTCAAACATTATCATTATGTATATAATTAAATTAAGACTTATTAGCCATATTTCTATATCCTTTTAAATTATATTTTTTTAAAATAAATATTTATTTTTTATTTTTTTATATCATTACCAACAAGGCTATGAAAAGAAACTTCAAAAATGATCTTAATAATAAATATTTTATATTATTTTTTTATTCAAAAAAATAAATATTTTAAAATATCCAAAAGAATGTGTTTAATAGCTTAGAAATTCACATTAAATCCACCATTTGTCATGGATATGCATATTTATCTAGATAAGAAGTATTAGATAGAAGATAAATTTAAATAGGTTTAATATTACCTTATAGCAATGCTTCTTAGAAGCTTCATAGATGAGTATTTGACTTTACATATGTTTATAGTTGAATAGTAGGTTAGAAAAACTTCTATTGTTGAATTTTGAAGGTTGCAAAGTATCCATCTTTAAATAATAAGTATCAAAGAGAGATGACAAAATGATAATAAGAAAGTATACATATTCAAGAAGAAATTGGAATGGCTATTGTTAAAGATTAGGAGTCTAAAGACTCTTGAAATTAGATTAGAAGTAAGAAAAGGTTTAATAAGAGTGAAAAAGGCTTCATTCTTGCTTCTATATGTATTATCTACCTACGAGTTATGTGGCAATATTTAATAGGACCTCTACCATGTGTTCAATTTATAAGACACATATTTAACTTACAAAACAAGTTTTCTATATGTACAGCACGTAGTTAGCTTGTTCTATAAGCTACTAATACGTGCAATATGTGGCTAACTTGTTGACTAAGTTTTTAATCTATCAATCACCTATAAATATGTATAAAGGTGAAAACATGTCTATGAAGCTTTTAAGAAGCTTTTCTATAAAATATTATCAAATTAATTTGCTTTTACTTACTTCTACCTATTCATATTACCTAAATAATTATTAGAATGTTTGTGACATCATCCCCTCTTCTAGAAACAAGTTCTACAAGGAGCAATAATTCCATATTGATAAAGTCCAAGATGTAATGAATTGTATTTGCTAGATACTCTGATCTATATCTCCTTTGAAGATAGTTGATAGGTCTTCTCAAATATTGATAATATTCTATTCTAGGATGAAAAGACCACCTTATTAATTGGTCATTATTGACCAATTAATTTTAAATGGATTGTAGATTTGGTTATTTTGTCAATAGAATTATGGCAAATGAAGTATTTAGTTTTGATTTGTGAAGATTTATCAAATCTAATGAAAGGCATGGTACTAAAAATAAAGTCTAAAGAAAAAATTTGTAAGTTTTTGCTTGAAGTTGATATTTTTTGCCATAGATATGTAAAAAAGATTACTACAGATCATAGAAAATTAGCTACACATGAAGCTTGTGAATTCTTTAAAAGATATAAAATTAAATTATTATTGACTATTACTTATAATCCAAAAGAGAATGCAAAGAATGAACACGGACATTCACCAATTATAAAAACTTTGATTAAAGCTTGTAATAGAAGAATAAAAGAATGGCGTCATCTTCTATCTTATGTATTATAGGCTGATTGAATAATACATAGTTCAGTGACAGGATGTATGCAAGTGGAATTCATGACAAGTCAAAAACCTATTATATTAATTGAAGAACATGTGCCAATTTAGAATATGTTACTTTAGAAAGATAGTTTGATAAGAAAAGAGTTGTTGGCTACTAAAATTTGACAACTTGAACAAAGATTATGAAATGTGGAGCTAACATTGAAAAGATTATAAAAGGTTAGGCTAGGAAATAAGACTTGGTTTGATAAACAACATCAATTGAAGCCTAGAGCAATTGAAAAAGGTGATTGAGTACTTCTTTATAATAATAGTTTGGATAATTAGTACAATTCTTTATGGAAGTTTTTAAAATATTCATTTAGACCATTGTCATGATGTAATATGACTAATAGGTGAAAAGAAAAAAAAATATTATAGAATAGAAGATCTTACTTCAAATATTATAGCAAATTATCTTAGAAAATAGACAATAGTCCAAAAGAAAGTAAAATTAAAGATGTAAATACTACCTTTTTACAAAGTAAGCTTCTATTTACTTTATAAGGCCATAAATAAAGCAAAAAAAAGTAGATTAGAAAAATAAAAAATATGAGCATATGTATGAGGAAGTTAGAAGTTGATTTTAGCAAAAATTAATTCAAAATGGCAAAAATTGATATCAAAGAAGGCCGATTATCAACTTGGATCAAAATCAATCCCTAAGGCACAGAATTAGGCACCTATGGAAACTCTAGAGTTTTTTTGAAGATCTAAGAAAAAGATTTGAAGGCAAGCTTGATAAAATTTCTTTGGGAATTGAATTTGATTGATTTGAGTATGTAGTAATTTTGTAAGAGCTTTGCAAAGTCATAGTTGTTTTAGGTGACTTTGGAATTTGTAAAATAAAAAGGATATTATATTTTGAAATTTTTTGTGAATTTGGTAGTAGATCTACAGTTCAAATTTCAAGGATTTATATGAATAGTTATTTAAAGTATATGCTGTAAGTTTGAGCTTGATCAAATGGTTGAATTAAAGGTTATTGAATTTCAAGTAGGTTGTATTGAAGAACAAGCATTTTGAAGACACAACACTTAGCATTGGCAAGGTTGCACACAAAGAGAGTATGGAATAAGATGTCTGTCATTTCGAATATCCATTACTTATAGATAGTGGTTGCTGCTGTAAAAGACAACTTCCACTCTTTGATTTTTACACATGTGGCTCTAAGATCCTTTTGGCATCTCACGAGCCTCAAGAGTATCCTATGACACATACTAATGATTCATACTTAGTCTTTGGATATTTCTTTATTAATACTTTATCCTTTTGACTTTGACTCTTGGTCCATGACTTCGTCTTATATCCATTGGATGCCCTTACCATATACAAAGAGTCAAACCTTTGACCACTAGCAACTTACCTAAGTTAATATCTTCTATAAGGTAACTTATTCTATTTTTACTTTAATACTCCCACTTTGTTATTAGTCAAATGGCTTTTAATCCTAAAGCCTTTGTCAACATGTGGTGTCTATCTTTTACTAATGCCTTTGTCAACAAATCAGCAAGCATTTCCTCTGTTGCACAATACTTCATATTAATCACTCCCATTTCAATCTTCTCTCTTATAAAGTGATATTGAATGTCAATAAGCTTGGTCCTTGAATGTTACTTTGGATTCTTTGCAAATGCAAGACATCCTTGATTGTCACACTCCATTAGAGTTGCTTCCATTTGCACATCTCCAATATCCTCCAAAAGTTGTTTCAACCATATTGCTTCTATTGTACCATGGCTTGCTGCCATGTACTCCGCCTCCATTGTTGATCTTGCAATTGTTGGTTGTCTCTTGCAATTCCATGAAATTGCTTCTATTCCAGCAAAGAATACATAGCCCATTGTTGACCTTCTATTATTTGCATCTCCAACCCAATCCGCATCACAATAACCATGCAAACTGATGTTATCACCTCCAAGGCATAATTTGAAGTTCAAAGTGCCTTTTAAGTACCTCATGATTCTTTTGATGGTTGCTCAATGGATTGGTCTAGCCTTTGACATGTATTGGCTCACAACACTCACTGCATATACAAGATCCACCCTTGTGCCAACCATTATATACATAAGTGAGCCCATTGCTGCCTTGTATGGAACACCTTGCATTTGACCTTCAACTTCAGCAAATACTTCATCCGTGAGCTTCATCAACTTCAAGTTTACATCTAATGGTGTTCCAATAGGCTTACACTCCTCCATGTTGAATCGTTTCAATACTTCTTTAATGTACTTGCTTTGGCTCATTGTATTGGTCTTTTTAGCACGATCTCTTACAAATTCCACTCCTAAATAATAGTGAAGCTCTCCCAAATCACTCATTTCATACTCCTTTTCTAACTTTACTTTCAACCAATCCATCATCTTCAACGTATTGGTTAAGATGATCAAATCATCAACATAGAGGATGACAATCAATATGAACTCATTTGATTGCATCACATATAAAGAATGATCAGCCTCACTCCTTACAAATCCTTCACTCACAAAGAATGTATCAATGCGTTGGTACCATGTCCTTGATGATTGCTTTAGGCCATACAAGGATTTTTTCAACTTACAAACAAGGTGTTCTTTGCCTTCTTCAACAAATCCTTGAGGTTGCTCAATGTAGATGTCTTCTTCCAAACTTCCATTCAAGAACGTCTTCTTCACATCTATTTGA